CCCTCCCCGAGACAGAGCTCACTGTGTTGCCTGGGCTAGAGTCCCGTGGTGTCATCCTAGCTCACAACAACCTCAAACTCCTGGGCTCAAACAATCCTCCCATCTCAGCTTTCCAGAGTGCTGAGATTATAGGCGTGAGCCACCATGCCCGGCAATAAAAGTATTTTTTAATTAAGGTATATACATTGTTTTTTTTTAAGACATAATGCTGTTGTATACACTACAGACCACAGTCATGACTTTTATGTTGTCCTGGGAAATAAAAAAATTCATGTGACTTGCTTTATTATAATTACTTGCTTTATTGCAGTGGTCTGAACCTGTACCCACAGTATCTCCATGCCTATATTTGATAGAATTCATCATTGAAAGCATCTGGTCCTAGAGTTATCTTTGTGGAAAGGTTTTTGATTAAGTTCACTTTCTTTGTGTTATATGTTTAGTCTGTTGTGTCATTAGTATTTGTAATCTTTTTTTTTTTTTTTTTTAACAAAGTTGTCTTTTTTTAGAAGTTTCTTTTTAGAAGCAGTCATGCCTTTGGGCTAACTACTTAGTTATTTTTTTTTTTTTTTTTTTAACAAAGTTGTCTTTTTTTAGAAGTTTCTTTTTAGAAGCAGTCATGCCTTTGGGCTAACTACTTAGTTATAATGGAAACTTAAAAGCAAAATCTGGCATTTTAAACCTCTGTTGTCTGCAAGGAAGAAGCCTGAAAAGAGTGGCTCTTGGATAGATAGGAACAGTAGCTGCCACACGTGGACTAGAAGCAGATAGGGAGATAAGGACAGGGTATAGTTGGGCATAATCAAAAGGTAGAGGTGAAGTTGACCTCCTGAAGGTCAGAGAAGTTCTCTTAGAGAAGCTGACATCTGACCTATGTTTTGGAGAATGAAGGGGGAAATGTGTCATCTCGATAAGACAGAACACTGAGGTACAGCAGCAGATGCTGCAAAGGCAAGGGGACTTTCTTAACAGTGAAACAAGAATCCTGGAGGGCACCATGGAATCGTTTTGAGGGAAGGAAGCAGAAGGTAAATGAGCTCAGATGAGGGAAATGGTAGTAGATGGTGGAGCCTTGGTCTAGTAGAGATGTTCCCAAGAACCTGTGGGGCTGTGGCTGCAATGGGCAAGAACCAGGGATGGAATTAAGTGATCTTGTAAAGTCGCTTTGGTTCCAGAACTGGGTGATGTTTTTGTGGTAATCAGTATTGTGGGTAGCTCTTAACACTCAGCACCCTGAAAAGCTTATATTTTAAAAGAAAACTTACTTCTACTTTTTGTTATCATAAACAGTTTCCGCTTTCTCTGTCATTTCTATAGACATTTGGCAGAAGCTTTCAAAAGTGATTCAGACTTTTTTCCCCCACAATTAATAAAAATTTTCTCCCTTTAATTTTTCCTTCTGGAAAGGAAGAGGAGGCTGCAAAATGGGCCCGGGAAGAAGAAGAAGCCCAGCGTCGATTAGAGGAGAACCGGCTGCGAATGGAAGAGGAGGCAGCCAGACTTAGGCACGAGGAGGAGGAACGGAAGAGGAAAGAGCTGGAGCTCCAGCGGCAGAAGGAGTTAATGCGCCAGAGGCAGCAGCAGCAAGAGGCTCTCCGGAGGTTGCAGCAGCAGCAGCAGCAGCAGCAGCTGGCACAGATGAAGGTAAAGCCTCAGACATCAACCATAGGAGCTATTGCTAACATTTTTTAGTTAAGTAGATGCTGGCAATACCAGTAGCAGTTACTGTATTTTCTTTATTGTTAAATATTACTACTTTGGTTTTTTGAGCATTAATAAAACATATGATGCACATACTTTGTGTTAGGTATTTAAACAAAAGAGGAGTAAACGGAAGAGGATAGGATGTGAGCTGCGGTGCTAGCAAAACAAGTTAATCTATTTGAGTCATAAATTTAATGTCGCTCAATAAACATCGGAGTGCCTGCTCCATACCAGTTCAGCACTGCCAAGACAAATGAGACAAGGCAGTTGCCAGCAGAGAGCTCACAGATAAACATTTGGATGTGTAAATGGGAGTTAGAATTCAGGGCTTGAAATACAGTTGGCTGTGGGGGTTTGTTGAAAGTTACAGTAGGAGGTGATGTGTGCAAAGAGTTGTTTTAGGAGGATTCAAAACATTATTTGAAATAAGGAGAAAATGAAAACTGGGAGCCTGGTAAAGAGAGTATGATGGTGGTGGTGAGAATGAATAGGAAGGGCCAGTAGGAGAGAACTGGCCTGCTAGCAGTCAGCAAGACTGAGCAACTGTCTGGGGGTGAGGGGCAAAGACAGAAGCTGGGGTGGCTACTACGGAATAAGCTTCAGCAACTGCGAAAAGAGTAGACTGTTGATGAAATTGGAATAATTAGGAAGGAAGAGCAGATTCATGGCAGGTCTCATGCCGGATCTGTAGTCAGCAGTAAGGTTTAGTGTCCTCTGCCTTCAGGGAATTCACAGGATGCAGATATATAAACAGGAAATTAGAATACAGTGTGGCGAGTGTAGTGACAGAGGTGGCATTAAGGCAGTAGTTCTTAGAATGTGGTCACCTGGGAACTTGTTAGACATTCAAATTCTTGGGTCCTACCCAAGACCTACTCAATGAGAACCAACCTATAGGGGTGGTAGCCTAGCAATCTTGTGTTTACAAAAGCATTCCAGGGGATTCTGATGCTGTCTAAAATATAAGAACCACTGTCTATCTGGGGTGTTTGGAAAGGCTTCCTGAGAAAAGGTAGCGTCCAAACTGAGTCTTTAGAGATGGAAATTTTTTTAAAAAAAGTTAAATAGGCAATTTGGGGAATAAGGGATTATGAGGGAGTCATCATAGGGTAAGCATGAAGTTAAGAAACACTATGGTATGTTTGGGGGAAAATTTTTTTTTTTTTTTTAAGACAGGATCTCGCTGTTGCCCAAGCTGGAATGCAGTGGCATCATCATAGCTCACTGTAATCTCCAGTTCCTGGGCTCAAGTGATCTTCCTGCTTCAGCCTCCCTAGTAGCTGGGACTGTAGGTGCACCACCACACCTGGCTAATTTTTAAATGTGTTGTAGAGAAAGGGTCTCACTATGTTGCTCAAACTTGTCTTGAACTCCTGGCCTCAAGTGATCTTCCCACCTCGGCCTCCCAAAGTGCTGAGGTTAACAGATATAAGCCACTGTGCCCAGCCTGTTTGGGAAAATTTAAAAAGCACGTTAGTGTTGCTGGAGCGTGAGGAATGAGATTCGTACAGGCAAGGTCCATATCACCATGGGCTGTATATACCCTATTAAAGAATTAGGACTTAAAGGTATGCAAAACAGATACAGCCTTTTGAGTACTTTTAACTACGGAATAACTGTCAGATTTTTAGGAGAACTAAATGGAAGATGGACTTGAAGGGAACAAAACTGGAGGTTAGCAGACCAGTTGAGAGGGCTGGTGAAGTCACTCAGGAAAGAGGGGGGAAGGCTTGATCTAGGCCTTACTTGTGGTGAGGTTCTAAAGGAGGGGTCAAGCTATCACTAATTATTGAGTGATTGCTTTATGTCAGGCACTGTACTGATAGCTGTCCATATATTATATCATTTAATCTTCATAAAGCTTTTAAATAAAACTTAGGGGTCTTTTACCAAAGAGGAGAAATGCTAAGAAGCTGAGCCACTTGCTGTCTTATCTGTTTTCTGCTGCTATAACAGAATGCCTGAGACTGGGTCAGCAACGGAAGTTTATTTGGCTTGTGATTCTGGAGACTGGGAAGTCCAAGAGTATGACACCCACATCTAATGAGGGCCTTTGTGCAGCGCCATCTCCTGGTGGAAGGAGGGAGGAAGGAAGGGCAGGAGAGCTCACAAGACAGAGAAAGGATGGGACCAACCACCCTTTTATCAGGAACTCACTCTCCAGATCACTAACCCACTCCTGTGATAACAGCATTAAACCGTTCATGGCTCTGCCTTACCCCTTAAAGGTCCCATCTCTTAATATTGTCACAGTGGCAATTAAATTTCAACATGAGTTTTGGAGGGGACATTCAAACCATAGCACTTGCTTTGTGTCCCGCTGAGAGTTGATCACAGAACCATGTATTAGAGCTCATGTGTCTTTCGTTCCAAAGTCCTGAAAAGGCTGTCAAAAAAACTTCCTAAGAGGTCATGTCACAGTATGTGGTGACTGACCCTATCAAATTCAGGCTGTTCTGAAGAGATAATTCCTGAAGCCTATATATGAGATTCATTCTGACCCGGGAGGACTCCTTCCAGCTGTCTCTTTCCCTGGTTCTCTTAGAAGTAGGGCCTACAGTTACAGGCTATATCTCCTAGGAATCAGTCATTCTCCAGTTGCCTTTTACCCCATCCTCCACTGTTTTTGAGAGTGCTCTTAGGCTTGAACTCCTTATTCTCCACTGGATGTTGCTAATGAAGTCAGTTCCTTTGGGAAGAGATATCTGGAGCTCTCCACTTTACTGTTTCTCCCACCCCCACCCTTAGGGTAAAGTCTCTGAGTCAGCTCTGGAGCTGGGAATAATGGTGACACTCCAGCTCAAGGGTGGGCAGAACAGTAGCCTTGTCTTCTTGGCTTGCGTCTCCTGGTGGCATGGATCCTCTGCCTCACAAGCCGGGGCAAGGATGATCAGGGCCACAGTGTTCTCCGTAGTGCTGTGCTCATTGTAGAGTTCCCATCCTGCAAATGGGGCTGAGCACAGGATGAGAGCCTCCACCTGCAGCTGCACTTGCCTGGAACTTAGCCTTTGCAACAGGTAGCGGGGACCAGGATGAGAAACACTGATGATGTGCTTTTTCCAGGAAGAAAGTCCCCTGACTGGTGGCTGAGGGCAAGGGAGTCCTGTTTCTTGTCTGTACCAGCCTGGAGTGCAGTTTCAGTCTCGCTGAGCTGGTAGTAGGGAGGGAGAGACTGGGCCTTGGTTTAAGTATCACTGACCCTTCCTGTTCTTACTGAGTTTTAGCAGATTTTCTTGAATACATGTTTCTTTGTTTTCTGTATGCCCTTAGGAGCATTTCTGGAGACTTTAAATGGTTGCCTTTTAAAATAATTTTCACCAGTTTTGCTGGGGAGCAGGTCCGCAGAGCTCTTCAGACTGTCATACTGACAGTGGAACATAATTTTTTTTTTTTTTTTTTAAAGCAAAAACAGTGTTGAAAAGAAAGGTAGCAATGTCAGGGCAGAAAAAGAAGAGTACATTTTTTTAAAATCAGTAAAGGATATTTGGCATTCAGCGGTCACAAAATGTGCCAAATTCCCTACTATTTGCTTCTAATTTGGGAGATGGTTGTTCTGGACATTATGATTGACATACTATAGTTCTGAGTGGGCAGTATAGGATAAAATGTCACGAGGCAGCATTGAAGGAGCCATAGGATATCATTCCTGTGCACAAAGATTTAAGGAAAACAATAGCTATCAGCACACTCTGTTATGTGAAGACTTAGGTTTGGTTGGCAAGGTCCCCAGAAACCCATGAAATGTAGAGTATATATTTTGTGCGTACATATACTTAGAGTGTATGTATAATATGTATATGTGTCTATATGCATATATGTATATATACATACATACATATGTATATATAGAGAGAGAGAGGGAGAGAGGGAGGAAAGGTGAGAGAATGAACATAGGACAGCAATGGGAAGAATCTCAGAGGTGCCTGAGGGAAATTTCTGGAGACAGTGCATATTTTCCTGGTGTTCACTGAGGTTCTGCTGAAGAGGGCTGAGGATTGTTTCCTGGTGACAATGAAATACACATCCAGTGGGATTTTAGACAACATCATTGGTTACTGGCTGCATCAGAATTACAGAAATATGCCTCACCTTTGAATCTTCTGATTTGTTAGGTGTGGTGGAGCCAGGTCATCTACATTTTTATAGGTCCCCTCAGGTGATGCTACCAGGTTTGAGATCTACTGCCTTCCTGAAAAAGGGTTGGTTTTTGCTCAATTTTGCCTGCTTAGCTCTCCCTCCCTCCCACCCCACCCTTTTCTCTATTAGCATCCCTCTGTGCCCCTCCCTCACCCAGCACAGGTGCATTTTCAGAGAAATGCCCTACTGTCTGTCATATTGGATAACAAATGTTAAGGATCGATTATGTTTAGTAATATTGAGGTAATTCATTTGGAGAGCTATTTGGCAATATCAATGACAATTTAAACTGTTTATATTTTTTAGCCTGTCACTTCCACTTCTAGAGATTTCTGTTGTAGATCCATTCTTTTTGGGGACTGTTTGTTCATGTATTATCTTCATTAAGCATATTTTAAAAATCTGGTTAATTTTTTTGTTGTGTGTGTTTGGGTCATTAGATGCTTCAGAATTGAAATGTATCCTTTTCTGGTGAAAAAGAGCAAGAGATTCTCATAGAATAACCAGGCTTTGAGAACATTATTTAGGACCCAGATATTTATACTCTATTTTAGGCAATAATTTTAAGGGATAGGAAAAGTAGAAATTAAACGTAGCTTAATGCTCATGACTGGAAGCTATAGCCTGGTTAACTAACAGTGGCTCCAATTCATAAAAGACTGATTGAGAGCTATACTGGCATCTCCCATTAGCTGCCTCCTTCAGCTTTCCCTTCAGAAATCTTGTCCTTAACCCTTTCACTGGATGGTAGCATATTATATCCTTTGTTGCCTTCTTGGATTAAAAATCCTCAAGCCAATTTAGTGATTCTTTTGTTGACTCCTTTCTCTTTATGGCTGTATATTGCTGTGTATGGCAGTGCCATATGTAACAAATGGTAGATCAAATATAAGTGTATGTGTATATTTTAAATTGTTTTATCAATAAACTTAGATGTGGAGCAGCAACAAAAAGTTAAGCAAAAGAAGCAAACCAACTAAGAGACTAGTATGTAAAAGGAATGAAGAAGGAAATTTGAATTAAATGTTGTAAATGGAGTTGCGGGAAAGTTGGCTATACCTAATGCATTATTGCCTCTTGGTTTCCTGTCCACATTTCCTCATGAACTCTCCTGCTTTCCCTTTTTTTGTTAGCTTCCCTCTTCTTCAACGTGGGGCCAGCAGTCTAATACAACAGCATGTCAGTCTCAGGCCACACTGTCATTGGCGGAAATCCAAAAACTAGAAGAAGAACGGGAACGGCAGCTTCGAGAAGAGGTAAATTTTTGAAGTAAAAGTGGTCCAGTCGAACAGTGTTCTAGAATATTTACTGTGAACTATGGGTTAGTGGTTACTGAAGACAGTTATTGTTAGAATTGCTGTGTGTCTGAATTGGATGTTCATTATTAAACTCTTTTAGCCCATAATTTGGTCACCTTAGCAAAGATGAATGATCTAATAGGAATAACATTAAGATTATATAACAAATGTTCAGTTTTCTTAAACATTTTATTGGTCAAGCTGTGGAGAATAGCTCGTAAATAAAAGTACATGGGTTGTTTAAAATTGTGGGTGAGTTTTGCTCAAATATCCTTTTGTAAACTTGACATTTAGAATGCAGGATACTTATCTCTCTAAAGGGTGTTGGGTTCCCTGAGTAGCCTAGAAAAACTTATAATATGGTAGAACTAAAGTACCTCTGCACTTTAAGTCTATATCCTGTAGTTCATCATTAGTGTAAGGAGAAGGAAAAGGTGGAGGGGTGAAGGAGGGGAAAGAATAACAGCTTTTGACAGGAGAAAATAATTCATGGTTTGGTTCAGCATACATTATGTGCCTCATTCATTCATTCATTCATTCAACACATACTTATTGAGTCTCACTTACAATCTGGGGTTACAGCTGAATTTAAAACAGACAAAATTTTCTGCATTCATGAAGCTTACCCTCTAGTTGAGGAGAGATGGCATATTAGAGGATGATAAGTGCCACAGAGAAAAAAAACATGGGGACAGGGTTAGGGAGAGTGTTGGGAGTTGGGGATGGTGTTGGTGATGGTATGATTGAATGTCCAGTTTTAGGTAGTATGGTCTAGGCAGGCCTTTCTGAAAAGGTGGCATAATATAGCAAAGCCTTGAAGAACATGCTTTATGTGGGTATGGTGATTTGGGGCAGAGCAATCAATTTGTTAGAGCAGCAGTCTCCAACGTTTTTGGCACTAGGGACCAGTTTCATAGAAGACAATATTTCCACAGAACCAGGGGCGGGGGTGTGCAGAGCTCAGGCAGTGATGCAGGACCAGTACCGGGCCATCACCTGGGGTTTGGGGACCGCAGTGTTAGAGAATGTAAGTTGCCATTTTTGTATCTGGGTCATGTGATTCACGAAATGGGAAGGCCATGGACACACAAAGAGAAATAGGAATTGTCTATACATATTTACCATATAGTGTGCTTGTTGTCATCCAATGGTTAAAATGTTTCTTCGCCTTGAAAATTAACTTATTTCTTGCCTTCGTTTTAAAAAAAGATCTCTGCTGAACGAAAAAAGAATAGTGGTAATGACTAGGAATCACAGGTCTTCTCTTGTTCATCTTTTTGTCTACCAGAAGTTAATATTTTATTTGGTTTATTTTCTTTGAACCTTTAAGTCTTCTTCTGCCCTTCAAAAGGCATAAAATGCCACTTAGTACATATTTCTCACATAGAGAAACCTAAGATAATTTTATTCCATTTTTATCCCTGGAGGGATCCCTTTCTGGGACCCTGTAACCTGTTCCAATCTGGATATTCTTAGCTTGCTTCATAGCTGTTGTGTTTTTCTTGACTTCTATCATTGCATGTTTTCCCCAGACTGATTTTGATTTTCACATGTTTTCTCTTCTGTTTTCCATCTCTGTCTTTTTATCTTTTTGATGAGGCATTTCCTCAATTTTATTTTTCAGTCCTTCTATTGAACTTTTAAAAATATGATGATGATGATGATGATGATGATGATGATTTTTGGAGACCGGGTCACCCAGGCTGGAGTGCAGTGAAGCAATCATGGTGCACTGCAGCCTCAAACTCCTGGCCTCAAGCGATCCTTCAGCCAAGTGCTGTGATTACAGGGTGTGAGCCATTATGCCCAGCTACATTTTTATTTGCAGCAAAAGAATGGACCCTGTCAAGTTAATTTTATGTAGCTACTATGTATTTGCATTCCATTTAGTATGGACATTTATAACTACTATCTAAAAACAGGAGTTCTGAGCTAGCTTCTGTTTTTATGCAACAGCAAAGGCGCCAGCAGAGGGAATTGATGAAAGCTCTCCAGCAGCAGCAACAGCAGCAGCAGCAGAAACTCTCAGGTTGGGGGAATGTCAGCAAACCCGCAGGTACTACAAAATCTCTTCTGGAGATCCAGCAGGAAGAAGCCAGGCAAATGCAAAAGCAGCAGCAGCAGCAACAGCACCAGCAGCCAAACAGAGCTCGTAATAATACGGTATGGTCATTTTCCTAAGCTGTCGTATGGACCTGTGTTATGTTATCTTTTCTGACTATAGTGGACTTTTTATCTTTTTAATATTATTAACCATAATCATTTTTCTCTTTTTCTTTAACAGCATTCCAACCTGCACACCAGCATTGGGAATTCTGTTTGGGGCTCTATAAATACTGGTCCCCCTAACCAGTGGGCATCTGACCTAGTCAGTAGTATTTGGAGTAATGCTGACACTAAAAACTCCAACATGGGATTCTGGGATGATGCAGTGAAAGAGGTGGGACCTAGGAATTCAACAAACAAAAATAAAAACAACACCAGTCTCAGGTAGGGCTCAAAATGATCACACCTGTGCACCTTGCTTGGTTGGTAGGTGGGGTGGGGGAAATGGGATGTTGGATGGGCAGGGAAAGGTAATTATATAGTTTTACTAATTGTTTTCATCTGTGTTTAAGCACATAGAGTCATAATTATGGTGATTGCTTTCTTCCGCATAGAAACACATTTCTGTTATTTCTAGGGGCTCCTTTTGCTGAGCACTTAATCCATTGCCGGTCACATGGTAACCACTTAATAAATATTAGTAATAGTTTATTTTTGTTGTTGATGAACAATTCTACAAGGGTATTCTCCAGGCATCTTAATTTTTTCTAAATTTTTTCTAAATTTATGTTTTTAAGTTATTTATACTATAATGCATATTAAAAATATCTCTGAAATGACCTTAAAACAATTTATTTCTGTAGGTTAGTTACATTTCATCTTCATCTTTCTTTCTTCAGTATACAGTGTTGTTGAATGAGCATGGGTTTTAGTTTTAAATACCTGAACTCAAATCCCAGCACTACCACTTATTAGCTGTGTGACCTTGGGCAAGAGGGAACCTCTTTGAGCCTCAGTTCCCTCATCAGTAAAATGAAGATAATAACAACTTCATGGGTGTAGTTGTAAAGATTAAATGAATACACATGAAGTAGTTAGTAAAGTGCCTGGCACATGGTAACTACATAATAAATGGTAGTGTTGTCAGATTCTTTCTTCTTGATTGAGAGCCTAATATGTTACAAATAGGACAATAAATACCTGTTAGATTATTGAGCCTCTTTGCCAGACACTGTGTTCTGGGCCTTTGCATGTAATATCTTTATTACTTATGATAACCCAAAGAAGTTTTAGTACCATTTTGCAGATGAGGAAACTGAGGCTTAGTAAAATTAAACAACTAAGGACACATGGAAGAATTCCATCATTTTTTCTCAATAGAAGCCCTGTATTTACAAACTGGGATACATTAGCTGATACTAGATTTTAAGGGGGTATCCAGTCCAAATATTTGAATTTATTTTTCTTTTTTGGAGCCAAGCATTGAATTACTGGACAGACATCCAGTGTTGCCAAGACATTATCTATTTATGGTGTTATAGTATAATCACATAGTAACAGTTTCTAGGAATATAATACCACCCTATTGTTTTGCTTTAGTAAATCTGTAGGTGTGTCTAACCGGCAGAATAAGAAAGTAGAAGAAGAAGAAAAGTTGCTGAAGCTCTTTCAGGGAGTAAATAAAGCCCAAGATGGATTTACCCAGTGGTGTGAACAGATGCTTCATGCCCTTAATACGGCAAATAACTTGGATGGTAAGAATTGGGGAGGGAAACCCAGCATGTGGAATGACAGAGCAGGACCTACAAAGAGGTTGGTGAATTGGAACAATGGGACAGAACTCAGGAGATGAAATCTAAGGTCAAGTTCTGCACCTGCCGTGAGAACCTGACTCTTTAATGGCATTACTTGTGCGAAGTCCTATAATACTAAGCTCAAATAGGGTATTGGTGGTTGCCAAAAAGTAAATGCCATCTCAGTCTGCCTTAATGATATATAGGACAGTGTAGGTCATAGTTCCATACTGCTCATTTTATGGGGGATATTGCCAGCTATATCAAGTGCAAAAGAAGGTAACTCATGCTGGGGACAAAGGTTAACCTGAGCAAGAGACAACTTAGGGATGTGATGACATTCCCCTCCTACTTTTAGGGGAGGGAGTGGGAATTATAATAGAGCAAGGAGAATTATTTTGTGTGGGATAAAACTAGGACCAATGTCTGGAAGTGAAAAGGTTCCGGCACAGTTTGAAGAAAAACTTGCTTGTAGTTAGCTGTTTACAAAGAGAACTACCTGCCTTAGATGGAAGTGAGTCCCCCTGCCCACCCCTTAGTGTTTGAACAGAGACTGGTTAACATGTTGCAGAAGGAGCTCTGATAACTGATAGACTAAATTGAACTAGTCCACCTCTGATATCTTGTCTAAAGCCAAGAATCTCTTAAAAACAAAGCATGAAAGGAATTAAAGAGTTCCTTTGCAGCATCGTGACAGTATCTAATGGTGTGAAAGTCCACAGAGCAAACAGTTGTAATTAATAGTCATGGCTACCATCCATTAAGCACCTACCATGTGCTAGGCACTCTCTTAGGGTTAACATATGTTATCCTAGCTATTTAATTTTTGCAATTATTTTTAAAGATACCTTTACAAGGTTGGTAATATTATCCCCATTTTATAAATTAGGAAACAGAGGCTCAGAATGGTTAAATAACTCATCAAGGTCACACAGCCAGCAAATTGCAGAGACAGGTTTTAAACCCATGTCTGTTTAACTCTGATACTTGTGCTTTTTCTCCTGTGCCATACTGCTTGCATTTTCCATTTGATTTCTCTCTAAACATGTAATATCTCAGTGAATTGAAAGTTCCAGGAGGATATAGCTGTATCTTTAGTTTCTGTTGGCACACATCATAGCCCGGCACACACCATAGCGCTTAAATACTGATTGACTTTAAGGAAAGAAAGAATGAATCCCCAAATTACTTTAGTCTTAGGCATGTAACTTTTTCAATCAACGTAACATTTAGTTTCAGCCAATATAACATTAAGTGAAATTAAACAAGTGTGAGATTTCTTTGATGCTATGCTATTTCAGATAATTTTGAGCATTATGATGGTAGTGTTTTTTCATTTCAGCAGGGTAGATTAAAGAGTATTTAATGCAGGTCATTGCGTACCTTTCAAGTTTCTGTCATTAATGCCTGTATTAGGTGTGATGATACATTAAAAACTGAAACAGATTTTTTTTGTATGTTGTTTTCTCATTATTTCATTGTTACTTTTTGTCTTCTCCCCTTCCATTTTGCAGTTCCCACATTTGTTTCTTTCCTAAAAGAAGTAGAATCTCCTTATGAGGTCCATGATTATATCAGGGCCTATTTAGGAGATACTTCTGAGGCCAAGGAGTTTGCCAAGCAGTTCCTTGAGCGCCGTGCCAAACAGAAAGCCAACCAGCAGCGTCAGCAGCAGCAGCAACAGCAGCAGCAGCAACAGCAGCAGCAGCAACAGCAGCAACAGCAGCAGCAGGTATAATGTAGTGTAGTATATGCAGTAGCTCTGTGAGTATTAATACCGTAAAGTGGCGAATAACCAGAGAATTGAAAATTAAAACATGTACACCCAGTGACCAAAGCTTTTTAAAATGTGTAAACTTCATATTTTCAAGGTACGTGTCCAGAGACCTTTGTGAATTTCCCATATAGCAAATATAACCATTCTCTATTAGATGTGCCAGTCCCATTTTTCTTGATTCATTTATATGTCTTAGTTAGATTGCTAATTCCAACATATCACAAACCCATAAATTTGGTTTTGAAAAGTTAAAACTTACAAATGTTAAATCTTCCAAGGTTCAGGATCCACCGTACTCAGTACTGACAATACTACAGCATACCAGACATTTCATATGTTGTTCATGGGGATGTAAATGGTACAGTAATGATTCTCATTATTCATAGTAGTTATGTTTTATAAGGTCCCTATGAACACTGAATTAGTGAATACTGAACCATTGTTCCTAGGGGGATATACAGAGTTAGGTTCCTATGCGCCTCTGGTCACAACATTTTTGTTAACTGATCAATAATCTTGTTTTGTATTTTTTTAAAGGCACTTTATTTAATATATATTGATTCATTAACATTGAGCTCATAGCCACTGGCACTATAACTCACGCCTGAACAAAGGTTATCTAACACATAATATTTTTCTCCCTAAAGCACATCACAGCTTTCTCGTGCTTAGGAACACCAGACAGCTCTTTATCACTACACTTGGGGGCCACTTTAAACAGTGAAATCACCAAAAAAAGCACAAACTTGGAAAATATGGCACTAAATAGACTGGAAAAAGGACACTTGTTTGCAGTTTTGAGATATGTAACAAGAAGACAGTATTTCCTTATTCTACCTCATCTGGGAATGTGTGTCTTGAACATCTCAAATTTTTCATTGCTCTGCACATGTGCATGTCCAGAATGACCATAAAAGCACTGCGAGTATTGATTATGGGGTTATGAATAAATTTTAACAAGTAGATGAATTCACAAATAAGGAATCTGAGAGAATCAATTACACGAGTTTTCTGAAAAGTTGGTAGGCTCATGAAGAGGCTTAAAATATTAAGGCAGGGCCAAGCCATGGTGGTTTACACCTTTAATCCCAGCACTTTGGAAGGCTGAGGCTGTAGGATTGCTTGAGGCCAGGAGCTTGAGACCAGCCTAGGCAACATAGGAAGACCCCATCTCTAAAAAAAAAAATTAGCCAGACATGGTGGCAATCATCTGTAGTCTCAGTTACTCAGGAGGTTGAGGCAAGTGGATTACTTGAACCCAGGAGTTTGAGTCTGCAATGAGTTATGATCATGCCACTGCACTCCAGCCTGGGTGACAGAGCAAGACCTTGTCTCAAAAGAAAAAAGAATTTTTTCAAAATTCTTCAAAAAAGAAAAATATATTCTTTAATCCCATAATTCTTATACTAGAGATAATCAATATTTGTTATAGGTCACTTCTGGGGATGTGGACAATACAGTGAAGTAAAAGGTATTTAAAATTTAACTGGGTACTGCTAAATTCAAGAATATAGTATTGGAAAAGAAGGAAAAAAATCTGGGTAAATGGGCTGACAGGGATAAATTTAAGGAAAGTGAAAAGACAACACTAGGAAAAGTATTTTAAGGACTCAAAGGAGAAGGCATCATATAGCAATACCGAAGGCCCTTTGTGAAATGACCTTCTCTGTGGGCTAAAACAGCAAGGTGGAAGCCCAGCAAGCATGTGCACACATGCATGCATGCATTTGTGCGTGCACACACACACACACACACACACACACATACATACACACATACACACATACACGTCAGGCTTGTCCTTCCACAGTGCTTTCTCCATTCCTTCCCCACTACCACCACCTGTGCCTTCAATTGGCTCGTTAAAATGGATCCCAATTTAAAATGAGTCGCTCTAACAAGAGCAAAAAGTAAATGTGAACGGCTGGTAGATTATTTCATAGTCTAACCAGTTGGTAGAAAATGTATGGACAATATTTTGGGGCCAGATCCCTTCTGGGATTGCTGATAGGAATAACGTACGTGACTTCATCATTGCTTGGTAATATGCTGCCAGCTGGTCTGCATCTTGTCCTCTCAGCCTTGGGGCCCGGAGAACAAAGAAACCTGCTTTGGGTAGGTGAGAGGTGTACCTTGCCAGAGTACAGAGGTCTGTTCATGGATATGTACAGATGTCACAGACTCCATATATACTGGAGAAGTACTAACAGCTGTGCTGTCACAGCAGGCTGGAAACCTAGAGTTAGCAGGAAAGGCTTTGTGGAGGCACCGAGCTTAAATGGAGTGTTTGAATCTAAATGAAGGAAAATGGTGGCTCAGTGACCTGCTTTTGGCTTTATTATTATCATCAGCACTCATGGAAGGCAAATCAGCCATTTTCTTAGGGTGAGCCAAGTCTGCATCTTCTGTGTAATCTATTATGCTGTCTTGTTTCACAGGACTCTGTGTGGGGGATGAACCACAGTACACTCCATTCAGTATTTCAGACCAATCAAAGCAACAACCAACAATCCAATTTTGAGGCTGTACAAAGTGGCAAGAAGAAGAAAAAACAGAAGATGGTCCGAGCAGATCCCAGTTTGTTAGGTGAGCAGAGGCCTGAAGTCTCAGCCGAGTGTTAGAGGAGTGCAGATGATAGCAGTTATCTGATGTGAGTTTCTGTGGTGCATTGTTTTTCAAGAAGGAAAATATTTCTTACACAAAATTAATTTTTTAATTGGGTCAAAATAAGTAGCCAGTATTTACTGGGCATCTCGGTGCAAGAAATGTGCCTCATATGCTGTTGGAGGTAAGAAAAGCAATAACTTAAGTTGTATGGTGCTTTAAACTTTAAAGCATTGTTTCATATTTATTATAATATGAATTTCTCTGGAGGGCCTTTAGTAATTTAGTTAGAAAATAATGCTAATGGAGAATGGTGAAAGTAGTTTTAAAAACTTAAATGCTGATTTATGTTAGAAGCAGACCATGAATTCGATCAGGTATTCAAAGGAGAGAACCAATGTGTGTTGGTAATCATTCTGTGTATTGTATAATTCTCAGAATTACTTTGAGGTGTTGCCTCAGTTTTACTAGTGAATAGACCAGGGCTCAGAGGATTTAGAACTACACAACTGTCAGCAGTGGAGCTGAGATTGTAGAACAGTCCTGTTTTCTTTCCACTCTTATGTGTTACCCATGGCTATTCTTGTCTAGCATTAAGGACCATGTAAGGAAGCTTCCTGGAAAAGGTGGCATCTGAACTGGGACTTTGAAAGACTGGCAGGAAGGATGGGGAATGTTGTTTCAGGAATAACAAACAGTATAGGCTGCCTGTGTTTCTTAAGTTGACCTAACAACCTCACGGACCATGATGAAACCAGAATTATTCTCTATTTGTGAAGGTAAAATTAGCTGTGATAAAACAGCACTGTCTATACTAGAATGAGTATATAGGCAGAGATGGCAGTTTGTGATTTTGGCCTGGTCAGGAGGGCAGACTAGTTAGGAGGTTGCAGTATAGACCAGTTGAAAGATACCAGTGGCTTGGAATAGGGTTTTTGCAGTGGGGTTAGAGAGGAGTTAGAGGGATTTTAGAAATTTGGGGGATAGAATCAACTGGACAAGCAGAGTGGAAAGGCCTTGGGCTTGGGGAGCAGGGTGGATGGTGCTGCCATGTGCTGTGAAATGACGAACACTGGAAGGTGGAGCAGGCTGAGGGGGCGCAAGACGGTGTTTGAGTGTTGGGTGGGTCGAGTTTGAAATGCCTGTGGGACGTCATGAAGACCCTAAAGGCCAGCAGTGCAGGAGGCAGATGGTAACTGACCCTACAGTGCCCATGGCAGATCCTCAGGGCCCTGGCGAACAACATGGTAACAAAAACCTAACTCTGAGAACTGCCTTTTGGAATTCATGCCTGAAAACTAAGTTTGGAAACTTAGGGACCTGGTGAAATTGTTTTCCTCTGCTTGTCTTGAAAGTTAATGTTAAAGGTGGGTGCAACCGTCTGAAATTGTATCCAATTTGGGCAGAAATAAGTGAAGCGATATAAAAGCATTCCTTAAATTCTAACTGTGAGTTCTAGCTAAGAAGCCCTTGCTGGCTGGGCGCGGTGGCTCACGCCTGTAATCCTAGCACTCTGGGAGGCCGAGGCGGGCAGATCATTTGCGCTCAGGACTTCAAGACCAGCCTGAGCAAGAGCGAGATCCCGCCTCTACTAAAAAAAATAGAAAGAAATTAGCTGGGCAACTAAAACATGTGTGTGTGTGTGTGTGTGTGTGTGTGTACACACTTTTTGCTCCAGACTTCTCCCTTCTTGTCTTTGCATGATTAAAATTAGTTTCTTAAATTACATTTCCACTTCTATTGCATGTAACTCATTATTGTTTTATTTATCACATTTTATCTGTTCTTGAGATACATGTGAAGTCAAAGAAAAAACTGTCTCAGAATAGAGTAATAGTTCATTTCATAAACTGGCCTCTAGGTCCTTATACTTACCTAATTAAACCATTACTTTAAAAATATAGACAGTAAGCCTTTCATAGTTTTCAAGGGAAAAAAGGTCTTGTGGGTTATGGGAGCACAGTCATGATGAGGTAGAACTCAGGAAGGGGTTTAGAATCCTAGCCTCTGCCTGTGTTAGGCCTTGGAAAGCAGCTTGTTGTACCACAGATTCCTTGGTTAATAAATAGGCATGTTTATTTTTTCAAATTGTGTTTTTGAGTCAGTTAAGCTATTTTTATTATGTAAGTCATTTTTGTTTGTTATTGGTACATTTAAAATGTGTAATTGTTTGAAACCTGAACATTAAAGAACAAAAAAAAAAGTGCGGAAAACCCAACTAATATTAACAGAACTGCTTTTAGAATGGGGCACATTGCCTGTTTACTTTTTGGTATTCAGATAGCAGCTAAAACAGTTTGGGATTTCATTCAGGGTAGACGAACTGGGAAGCCTTTTAGGAGTCACTCAGTCCAAAGAGGACTTGTTCATCGTAATTTTTATCAACCTCGGATTATGGAGTTTTGGGAAAAATTAAACGTGACCGTTGGCATTAGGTTTTCCAATGTCAGTAATGTTTGTGAGTACTGCTTGTCGCCTTCAATGGGTGTGCTAGTACTGCTTTTTCTAAACCTTATTCCATTTTGGTTAATCAAATATTGCTCACTGAAATCCTTTACTTCACAGATACACTTACAGTAGATTGAGTTGAATAAAGTACTTTAATCTTTTTGTTCTGTCTACTGTGGGAAAGAAAGAACAACGTGAGAGCTCTAACTATCTTACAGTGGGTCTTCCTTAAAGCATCCTACCCCTGAATAGCAAAAACTAGCTAGAACTTTCATGAAGTTTTTTTTTGTTTGTTGGTTTTTTGAGACAGAGTCTTATTCTGTTGCCCAGGCTGCAGTGCCATAGTGTCAGCCTAGCTCACAGCAACCTCATACTCTTGGGCTCAAGTGATCCTCTTGCCTCAGCCTCCCGAGTAGCTGGGACTACAGGTGTGCATCACCACGCCCGGCTAATTTTTTTCTATTTTTAGTAGAGATGGGGTCTCGCTCTTGTTCAGGCTGGTTTCAAACTCCTGAGCTCAAGTGGTCCTCCCGCCTCGGCCTCCCAGAGTGCTAGGATTATAGGCATGAGCCACCATGCCCGTCCTCGCAAAGTTTTTGGCCAGTGGAAAAAAATATTTCCATTAAAGTGAGTCTGGGGTTGAAGGAGTATTAATCCCACACAGATTTCAAAGTCATGTGATCAGGTAGTTACAAAGTACTTAGTGGGTGTTATTTCCTTCTTTCCCCCCAACCCCCATTTCTGTTAAGGTAGACCTGCTGAATGAACTTCCCCCCACTGCCCCAGACCAGCCTGGCCTATCTTTAACAGACACCCCACTCTCTTCTCAGATTCTATAAGGTAGTGATTTGTAGTTCTGTGTTTAAGTGTGAGACTATTTTGTTTCATTTTTCTCCCCAATCAAATTATATCAGAACCCTGAAAAATAAAACAAAGAATCTCTCTTTCAAAGAACAGAAAGCTACTGCTCTTTCATCTTTCTTCTGTCCCCCTTTACACCCCTATGGTATGCTCAAAAACAAGAGACTTATGTTATATTCCAGCCCACTGCCTAGAATTTGAGCCACTTGGTTGTCTGGGTGTGGTCACTCATAGCCAATTTTTTTCCTGCAGGATTTTCAGTCAATGCTTCATCGGAGCGACTCAATATGGGTGAAATCGAGACTTTGGATGACTACTGAGCACCTGCCAGTGGACTGGCCTTCCCTCTCCTATTTGCCAACTATGGAGTCTCCACCTTTGGACACAACACTTTATTCACCGTTTCCTCTTTGTCACTCTGCAACAAACCACAGAATCGATCATCTCAGGCTTTTTCATCTAGCCCTTTGTGTCCAAGATTCTTTAAACTGTTTTTGTTGGTGAACATCTCAGACTGTAGATAAGTGGACTGGACCCTGTGTCTTGGGGGTGGCAGTTGGGATTACTCCCCAACAAGGCTGATTTTGGGCAGCACGTGTTCACTGTGCCGTGATTTCATCTACTGTCTCCCAGAAAGTGTGTTGGGATCTGCCAATAGCAGCTTGCTTTCTCTTGTCACTCTTTTTCCTTCTAGTTTGTTTTTTTCTTCTTGTTTTTCCCCTACTCCATAAGGGCAAGAGGTCTAATTGGTGCAATCATGAAGAGAGTTCATGGTTAACAGACATTGGCCAGCAATAAAACGCCCCATGAACCGTGACTCGAGTGTCCAGCAGAGACAGTTAGAGCTCTCCCAGTCTGAAAGTTGCATTGCCACTGCTAACTTTGGGATTGCATCAAAGAGGCCCTGAACAGGGTTGAATTTAGATTGGATTGGTTTGATATTACACATCCCTCACCTGTTCTTTCTGAGCATCCTTTCAAAGAAAGCATTCATGTTTTTCTTCATTAGATAGTGACTTCCAAGCAAGCTGACTTCTCCCCTGGCATTCTCCAACCTGATTGGACAAAGGAAACCCTATGGCCTGGGAGAGGGACTTATTCTTAATTTTTCTTTCTTACAAAAACTGATTTTTCCCATAAATATTTTTACTTCAGAGGACTAGGACCAGTTTGTTTTGGGCCCTTCTGCTGAAAATTTGCCTCGTTTAAGAGGCAGCTAGGATATTTACCATATGTATGAATTTGTATAATTTCATTTTGGATAGGGATAAACTTTTGCTTCCGATAAAAGCCCGGAATTTCTTCTGGTTCCTCAGAGCATTGTGTGTGTGTGTCTTGCTGTGGCCCAGAAAAGGTTTTGTTTAAAGATTCTGGCATGGCAAGTTGCTTGCCTTTTCTGAAAAGAGAATATACAAAACCTGACCATCTTTAGAACCTTCTTCCATGGAAACCACTATACAGGAGGATGCTTTGGGCTGGAGGGGATGGGCGAGAATGGGAGCGAGAAGCCTGGTCTGGCTTCTCATCATAGCCTCCTAATACCTTTCACTTCAAGTAGAAACGTACTCAAGTCCTATTTATAAATAAATACTCTTCCTATCTCCACCAAACCCCTACAGAACATCACCTGGAAGTGCTACTCACACTTGGGTTGGAGCCGTTGGCCCAGCTGTTCCTGTATGAGAGGCGCTGGGGTTTGGGCGGCTCCTGGGTAAAGCACCTTTGCTTTGTGTCATCGTTGCCTGAAGAAGGCTGGAGTTGCTCTGAGAGCAGTTTGGTTTTGGAGAATTATATTTGGCTTCTATTTTTATTATTTTGGATCACCATCTCCCTATTCCTTCTTGCCTCCCTCCCTCCTAAACATGTATAATAACTATACAGAAACTGCTACAAACTTGTATATAGTTTTTGGATCAAATAGCATGAGGAGATGGGAAACCATTAAAAATTGGGACTCTTACTCTCCTTTGCTTTGTAAATTCAAAAGTGGGGGGTGGGGAAGAGGGATAGTTAAAATGTTTACAAAACTTTAAGCTCCCTCGGAACTTTTGCCAGTGTGGAGGAAAATAAAAAAAAAAACTTAAATAAAACCTGGTTGTATTCTATCTGAGCGTACCTCTGGTACTCACCTTTGTCAAGGCTGAGTTTTGCACTAAACTGTTCCTCTTGGCACTATGGAAAACTCCAAGCACTGGAGACATGCAGGCAGCCATGGCTCTCTCTGCCAGACTGTGGAACACTGGCAGGTACTGTATTTGAGAATGTACAGGTCAAGGCAAACATCGGTAAGTCGGTAAATGTCTTTCCTCCTTTGACTGTCCATTTCTGCCGACTTGTGGATCGGCTTCTGCCCTCTTGCCACAGACACACCCCCGCTGAATGTGTCCTTCCAGTGTCTGCCCACATCGTCTAAACTAGACTTCATTGTGTGTGTGTTCAGGGAAAATAAATTAAAAAAAAAATTGGGAGTAGAGGGGGCAAATTAGGAGAAACAAAGTCATTTTAGTCTTGGAACATTCCATTTGCTTGCTTAGAATAGACTTGCTTCCATAGACTTGCTTCTATCTGAGGAATTTCCCACTTAGTAGAAAGAAACCACTCTTCCTTGGTAATGTTTGTGTCTGTCTCTCTCAATTCTGCTTTCTTTGACATTCTCATTTGCTCACTCTTTCACTTACAGCCACTGTTTTCTTATCCCCGTTTATGAACTAACTTTCACATTCTCTTAACTCTTGAGTTTTGAAGTATTCGTTTTGTATACTGCTTTCAGTTTTTTAAATTCAGAGATTTAAAAAATATCCCCAGACAAGACAGTTTGATTATGGAGACTTCCCCAGAGATAGCTGGTGTTCTGGTTACTGTCGCAGCATAAAAAATTATCTCCAGATTGGTTTGTAACAACTACTTTATTTTGTTGGTCATTTTGTGGGTCACAAATTTGGGAAGGGCTCAGCGAGGTGGTTCTTTTCTTGGGGTCTCCTGTGGTTGTGGTCAGATGTCTTCTGCAGCTGCATTCTTATGAAGGCTTGCCTAAGTAAGTGGGCTGCCCAAGATGGCTCACTTGTGTGAAAGCAGTGCTGGCTGTTGGCTGGGAACTCAGCTGGGTTGATGGCTGGTGGATCTATATATGTCCTCTCTAGAATTGCAGCTTCAGAGTAGTTGGAGTTCACATGTGGTGGTTGGCTTCCCCCAGAGAACCAGAAAGAGATGCTGCCTTGGCTCTTCTGACTCCTCTAAGCTCAGGAGTCACATAGGGTCTTTCATGACACTGTATTCCGTCAAAGTAGTCAGAAAGTATGATATTGTAAAATATATATTTGGTCTTCTGTCCCATTTCCTGGCATACAACTCCCAAAATCCTTAAACTCCAAAGTGAATTCTTTTTGTAGGAGTTGACTGATGGCCGGCAGCCCCTTGGTAGCTTCAGGATGGAGCTGGTCCCTGAAAAGAGCAAGGCAGGGTTAGAGGGTTGGAACTTTCCGCCCGACCCCCAACCTCTGGAGCGGGGAGAGGACTGAAGGTTAAGTTGATAACCAGTGACCAATGGTTTGATCACGTCTACATAATGAAGCCTCCATAAAAACTCAAGTGGACAGGATTCAGAGAGCTTTTGGATAGCCGAGTACGTGGAGGTTCATGGAGGGCGGCACACCAGGTAAGGCGCGGAAGCTCTGCGACCCTCCCCCATACCTCTGCACACCTCTTATCTCTGTCCTTTGTAATAAACTGGTAAACATAAGCATGTCCCTGAGTTCTGTGAGCTGCTCTAGCAAGCCGAATCCAAAGAGGGGTCCTGGGACCCCCAACTTGAAGCCCGTCAGAAGTTCTGGAGGCCTGGACTTGTGAGTGGTGTCTGAAATGGGGGTGCAGTCTTGTGGGACTGAGCCCTCAATCTGTGGGATCTGACACTATCTCCAGGGTAGATAGTGTCAGAATTGAATTGGAGGGCGTCCAGCCGGTGTCCACTACAGAATGGACTGCTTGCTTGTTAGTGGGGAAAACCCCCACACATTTGGTCTCAGAAGTCTTCTGTGTTGACTGTTACTACACTAGTGTGGAAGCAGAGGGAAAACTTGGTTTGAGTTTTCAAGCCCACTCACATTCAAGGTTAGGGATCATGGTCCTCTCCTGTGATCCCTGCAGACCCCTGTGATCAAAGGAGGGGCAAGGTCACATGTAGCAGAGCATGTAGGATGGGAAATATTGTAGCCATTTTGGGGAAATAATCTGCATAAAATAAAATGAGTTTATGCATATACATCAAGGACTTTATTTTCATTGGCTCTGAGTTGATTTTTGTTTTTTGCGTTTTTTTTTGAGACAGGGTTTCACTGAGTTGTTCAGGCTGGTCTCAAACTTGTGGGCTGAAGCAATTCTCCCACCTCAGCCTCCTCAGTAGCTGGGATTACAGGCACGAGCCATCCAGCCTGGCTTGTTTTTTGTTTTTTTAATTTCAGAATAGACAATGGTGTTTCTGGCTTCATTTTAAATAACTTTTTTTTAGGGAAACCATTTTACTTTTATATGCATATATGTTATATATATGTAAATATTGTGCCCTATTTTAAAATTGACCTGGTGACAAAATTGGTAATTTTATACAAAATGCCCCTTTCTACATTATTAATAAAAGTATGTGTGTGACCCTAATTAAACAAAAATGGTCTTTTGAAATGAACATTTCTATACTGTGCTTCCAATATGTGAAGTAGAGCTTCATTAAGAGAGCAACAGGCATGCACATTTTAAAGAGTGAGGTACACCCAGAGCATATTCCAAATGGAAGTTGGCCTTATAGTTGATGGGTTTCTTAGAACAACAGCAACAAAAGCCCAACGCTGGAGAGTGGCTTTGGTCCTGGCTGAGTTCAGTCAGTTCCTGGTGAGGAAGCTGTAGTACCTCCTGGGCCCTTTGGAGAGTCTGAGAACCCTGAAGCAGCCAGATGTGTGATACTCATTTTACAGATGTTAGATTCCTGAGAACAATGGACCTGTGTAGCCTTTGGTAGTGCTAGTTCTGGACTGGGAGTCTAAAGCCTTCAAAGGGAGGGTTTCCCTCCAGAAATTAACGAATGGGAATGTTTTGCAGCTGAAGTAACAACCATAGCTAAGGTTCGCCATGTGGGAGAAACAGCACAGACATGCCAGGAAGGAAGAGAAGTGGGCTCTTTTCATAATAGCTGCTCTGGAACCCAGAAGCTGTCCTTGCACCCCATCTTATCACTGGCATAGTGATGATGTCATGGGAGTGGAACTCACGATCACCTCGACACCCAGTTCTATCCAACTGATCATAAGAAGCAGTGATACTATTTCTTAAGGGTCGTTTACTTGTGCCCCCAAATGTAGGCATGGTAGATTAGTTTCCCTTGGCAGCAAATTGCTTTTTCCTTTGAATTCCTCCTTTAGCATGAGAAATGGTCAGTAGGTTGGTATTAGGTTTGGTTGCATGTAACAGAAGACACAAAGTAACAATGACTTAACAAGATAGTTTATTTCTCACGTGAAATCGGAAGTCATCAGTCCAAGGTGCCTCGTGATGGCTCAGGGACCTGGGTTCTTTCTGCTTCACCATCTTGATTGTGGCTTCCATCCTCAAGGTCACTCATGGTCCAAGGTGACTGTTAGAGCACCAACCATCATGCCCACGTTCCAAGGCAAGAGGGAGTAGGGCAGGGCAAAAGAAGCACACCTCCCTTGTTAGTTCCCTTTAAAGAGTTTTTTTGGGAGCCCTACTCAACATCTTAAGTCTTATTGGCTAGAATGCAGATACATAGCTACAGTTAGTTGCAAGAAAGTATGAAAGTTTGGGGATTTTAGTTGAGTGCTCTGCCATCCCAAATGCCATTAGGATCCCATTACTAAGAAATAGGGAGATGAGATGTTGCACTGGCAGTTACTGTCTCTACCACATTCTCTTCCATCTTCTGTTTTGAAATGGGAAACGTTTGGGGTAGTGGGGTTTGGGCACACTGACCAGGGGAAAAGAATCCAGTTTTGCCTGTGGACTGAGGATTTTAGTCTTTCCCAATGAGGGCGCTCAGAGTAGACTTTGTTTCTGTTCCTGTGCAGAGCTGGGGACCTGGAGCAGGTGTCAATGGCTCGACCTTGCTGTGTGTTGTATTTTAAGTACCCAATGGAGTGAGCCTGGGAGTGGTTTTGGGAATGGGGGCCCAGGAGTTGAGCTGTCAAGATTTGCACATTGGTCTGAGCACCTACTTGGGGCAGGTTTCTCTCTGTACTTGTTTTCCCCATCTGTGAAATGAGAACTGTCAGGGAGTTGTGATCAATAACTTAACACATAATTACAAAGTATAGTTCCCAGCACATAAATGCTTGACAAATACTACCTATAGGCCATCTTGCAAGTGAGAAGGGCATTTGTGGGCACATATATAGGTGCCGTATATTAAATGAGGGTAACCACCTTCTTAGATGTCTTAAAATTAGTGCAGAGAAGTAACCCTCAGGGAGCAGTGTGGCGTGGGTGCCAGGAGGCTGCATGTTAGCACCAGCCTCAGTATTAACCAGTCCTTCCTGTCCTGTCTCCGGGTGTCAATTTCCTTGCCTGTCAGATGAGGGGGTTGGCCCAGATCAACTGAGGAACTTGGAACAAAAATGAATCCCCGAGCTCCATGTCCCAGGGTTTCTAAGCTGGGGGAGGCCCCACTGGAAATTATTTTTAAGATCTCTAAGTGATTCTAAATGGACGGCCTGAGTGCAGACCCAGCAGCCTGGCTGATCTGGGATGTTTCCTTCAGCTCTAACCTCCCAGCGTGTGAGTGTGCGTCACGTGTGCAGCCGTGACTGCTGACGCTTGGCTCCTTGGCGATGCCTGACAAGTGACCCTATGCAGTTTCACTGAAGGAGAATCCAGGTTGAAATGCAAGCGTGGTGGGCCTTGTACAGGGGGACAGAGTCACATACCTGGATTTTCTGACTTTGGTAACATGAAATGCAGCCTTAAACAGTCCAGGGTCCCATCATGAGACAGAAATCACCTGAGATAATCAAAAGAAATGAAAAAAAAAAAAGAGGAAGGAAAGAAAAAGAATCAGTGCTGGAAGCGTTGAGGGCAGAATGGAAGGTAA